CTCCCTTTTGAGGGCAACCATCTGTTAAGTGAGAAAATGGATGAGTCACTGCAGACTGTTAAGGACTCCTGTGCAACCTTCTATTCCTTCGGGATAACACTACAGCACCTGGGAGGAAGTTCTCCAAGCCACCGTCTTATGGGCACCGCCCTGCTCCTCAATGCTTTTACCATCAAACGGCCTGTGAGTACCTCAGGAAGCACCAGAGGGTCCACCGCAGTAAACAGAGCATCCCACCACTATTCCCTTCTCAGTCCCAGCCTCCTGCCACAAAATCACTTTGACAGGACCCTCCAGAGCCCCCAATCACTCTCCACACCAGCAGATACCCCCTGCTGGTTTCTTACTGTTGTGGCAGCATCTCCTATCAGACAAATAGGTCCCAGATCTCATCTTGACTGACCCTACCCCTATCCCTCCTCCCCATTCGTCTTCAGGGATCCCTTACAATCCCTGCAAGATCCCTAACAAGAGAACCCTTAAACAGGAAGTGGACTCCCTGATTCCATTGGGGTGATAGAGCCTGTGCCGAGGAGGGCTTCAATTCCAGATACTTCCTCATCCCCCAAAAGACGGGAGGCTGGAGATGCATCCTGGACCTCAGGCTGCTAAATACCTTCATGTAACATTCAAGATTCATCCTGGCCTCCATAATCACCTTCCTAAATGAAGGCGACTGGTTTGCTGCTCTTGATTTGAAAGATGCCTGTTTTCATATAAAGAAGAGGAGGACTTGTGGCACCTTAGAGACTAACCAATTTATTTGAGCATAAGCTTTCGTGAGCTACAGCTCACTTCATCGGATGCATTCAGTGGAAAATACAGTGGGGAGATTTATATACACAGAGAACATGAAACAATGGGTGTTATCATACACACTGTAACCAGAGTGATCAGGTAAGGTGAGCTATTACCAGCAGGAGAGCGGGGGGTGGGTAATTAATTAGACAATGGGTTTTCCTCCCCAGGGCTTAGATTGGAAAGGGTAGATTCAGAGTGGATCATTTGCATTCCCCTTTCCCCAACTTCACATGTATTGTTCCTTCATAGGAAATCCACTTCACATGTATTGTTCCAAAAAGTCCATTGAAGTTCATAATACTTCCCAGAGATTTCATTTGTCAGTCTTCTAGAGAAGTTACATATGTACAATAACACATACACAATTGCATTTTTAAGGTATTAATCCTAATTTAATAAGTTTTAACTTAATTCAGTAAAGTTATTCAAGATATTGTCAGCCTATCACATAGATGACCATCTGAACGATGTGGAACTTCTGGCAAATCTAGAAATGACCACTTTAATTCCCACTCAAGTTATAGATTTTTATCAGTGAATCCAGTTTTGGCCAAGGCATACTTACTGCAGGACAGATTCCTTGTGACGAGAGATTGCATTGCTCAACTCTAAGTTCCAGGTGACAGGCAATCCTGCCTAGCCCTTTTAGGCCACATGGCCTCCTGTACCTACATCACTCCTTTCACGAGGCTCTGTCTTCAGTGTTTCCGGGTGTGGCTGTGGATGGTTTACGCTCTGAGTAAACACACCCTGGACGAATGAATCTTGATTCCTCAGTATCCTAACATGACTCACCTGGTGGGAAACCAAAGAGACTGTGTGTACAGGTCCCCTTCATTCCCCCACTACCCCTAAGGAAGCTAATTACATAGGTCTCCCTTTTGGGATGGGGAGCACACCTAGATGAAAATGTGACTCAAGGCTCTTGGACTTAGAAAGGGTCCAAACTGCACATCAGTCTCTGGACAGTGCACAAAGATTGCAAAAGGTTTCTGCCATTCATCCATGCTGTACATGTTCAAGTCACATCAGACAACATGCCTGCGGTATATTACACATACAAACAGGGAGGTGTGAGATCTACCCAACTTTGTAACTGGTGCATGTGGCACCAGATCACCCTCTCGATGATGCACCTTCTGGGAGAAATGAACACTTCAGCAGACAGCCTCAGCAGGCATTTCCACAAGGATCATGAGTGGGAGCTCCACAACTTGATGGTACAAGACATTTTCTGGTGGTGAGGCTTTCCATCCTGGGACCTCTTTGGGTCCTAGGCAAACAAGATGTGTCCAGCCTACAATTCCCAGGCCACTTAAGGGCATAACTACAGAGGGATTGCATTCCTAGTGCAGTGGTCAGAGACCCTCATGTACACTTCCCTCCCATCCCCCTCATGTCCTGAGGAAGGTCAAGCAGGACCAGATCCCTAGTGGCACCCTGATGGCCAAGACAGTTTTGGTTCCTCACCATCATCCAGATGGCCTCACACCCAGGTGTACAATTACAACTGCTCCCGAAGCTAACGACTCAGTACAGTGGTAGGACCAATGATCCCGACCCAATGTCTTGCCATCTTACAGCCTTGTTTTTGGATGGACAATGAATGTACAGAGATCATGAAGATTAGAAGAGGTCCAATCCATCCTCAGTAGCAGCAGGTAACCCTCTAAAACGAAATGTTATGCCACCAAATGGAAGCAGTTCTTTCTTTAGAGCTAGCGTCATCACATGCATCCACCGAATGCTGGGATCCCTATCACCTTGGACTATCTTCCATCTCTGAAGTCATCGGGACTATCCATTAGCTTTCTGCATGTACATGTAACATCGATTAACACCTTTGGTCTTCGGTCTTCACCCTCCCTGTGACTGTGAAGTTCTTAAAGGGTATCACTAGAACCTTTTCCCTGTATCAAGACCTGCACCTGCCTGGCACCTGAAGCTGGGACTATCAGCACCTATGTATCTGCCATTCGAGTCTTTGGCCTCCTGCTCCCTTTATACCTGTACGTGAAAGTGGCCTTCCTAACAGCAATCACCTCCACCAACTGAGTGGGCAAGAGTGGGGTCCTTGTGGCAGACCCTTTCACACGGTGCTTAGGTTGAGATTGCATCCCAAGTTTACCCCAAACGTCCCTTCCAAATTCCACTTGAATCAGTCAGTCTTCTATCCAAAACCTCACAATAAGAGACGACAAGAAGCTCCACTCGCTGGATGTTGGCAGAGCTCTGGGCTTCTCCTGGCAAAGGACAAAATCTTTAGGGACATCGCCAAGACTATTTGCATCGGTTGGCGAGTGAATGAATGGAGAAGCAATATTCTGGCACTGACTCTCTAAATGATTTTCAGGCTGCATCCTGCTTTGCTATGAATAAATAGAAACCCCTCCCCCACAAGGTGTAAGGGCCCATTCAACCAGAGCACAAGCTACTTCATTAACTTCTCTGCAAGGAATTCTCTGCTTGGAAATCTGTGGAGCAGTGACATAGGGCTTGGTGCATACTTTTACAGAGCATCATGCCCTCATACAAGCCTCGTCTCTGGATGCTTCCTTTGGAACAGTGGTCCTGCCCTCTGTGGTGTAACATAGTTCCTCACATCCTCCTCCTCAGTGAGTTCTGCTTGTGAGTCACCCACAGTGAATCTTATAGGCACCGTCATTCGAAGAAGAAAGAAAAGTATTCCGCTTGTACAGTAATTGGAGTTCTTCCTATCTGTATTCCACTATGTGCCCTCCTCCTCCTCTGTTTCAGATCCTTAGTATGATTTGCAGTAGAGTAGGAACTGGAGAGGTGATAAGTCCACACCGCCCTTATGCCCTCGGGTCAGAGCACAAGGAGGTTCAGGCATGGACCAATGGACATTGCAAGTGAAGAATCATCAGATCTCAGACTCATAGACCAGTACCACCCCTAATGCCCCCATGGACCACACATCTCTAAGAACTGTTACTATAAGGTAAATAACCTTTCTTTTTTAGCTCAGACTATAATGTGAAAGAAACTTTAATTTGTGTGTGTTCAAGTAGAGAAAAAATTGAAGTGTAAATAAGCGCTCCGGAAATATTAATCTGACGCTACACAGAGAGCTGTTAGTGATTTGAATATCCTGTGCCCCAGACAAAAAAAGTGCAACAAAGTCAGAAATTCTTGTCTGGGCTGGCTTGAGAATAGTAACTGCACAGCTGTGAGAAAACCAGCAAGACAGGAAGTGAGATAACAAATCTGTTTAGTGAGAGTTTAAATATTTATGGTTTTATTTCCAACACCATCTCTGACTATTCAATCCCACTATTCACTTCACTTCTGTAACGCTCAGAAGCAAAGTTTCCCAGAAGATGTAGTTTGAATGGGATTTCATTCATGTGTTTTAGTTAGTGAGAAGGACAGTCTTGTGGTGAGCACACATGACTGGGAGTCACTTAACCATCTCTGACTGCTTCCTTGTCTTTATTAGAGATGATAATACTGCATTTACTTGTCTCAAAGGTGTTGTGCAATTTAACTCAATGTTTAAGGGTTCAGAGGGGCTCATATTTAAGGTGCAATATAAGCGCAAAGAATTGTTGTAACTTGGCAAAGTAAACACATTATTTGCATATCTAGATGTGCAAGAGCACAGTCCAAAAGTATGCCACCTGTCTGAGCTTAGAATGGCCAGTGTAACCCTGGTATGAAATGGCCTCCCCACACAGGCTAGTTGACTCATCTAGTTACATGAAAAGAAGAAATGGGCTTCTGTAATACATAACAAAGAACATGGCTGTGTCCGTTGTTGCATTGCTGACGTAGCTGCACACCTGATGCTATTACAGCAGGAGTAGTTCAGCTCAGTCCAGCACCATGTTACTGCACAAAGCACACCAGATAGCTGTGGGGCAGAAGACAGAAACTGTCATTTTACTAGGCTCTGAAAGACTAGAGAGGGATTGCTTAGCAGAGCAAGGTGAGGCATGCAAGCCCCAGTTCAGACAAACTGTTTTGAAAACCATCAGGGGTGTTTGGAGGGAAACAAATGGAATATTTCCTGTTTAAAAAAAACTCTTAAAAGAAGTGCAGATTTGTCTCCCCACCTTTCGCTACAAGACAGCTGCACTACATGAATGCCATGGTGTCATTCTAAATTAGCCCACCAGCATAGCTCCTGCTGGATGAGTAGGAGAACCCCTTGATGTTTATCAAGTGCCCTTCCTATGTGCTAAGCCCCATGTGCTTCAAAGATTTATCCAGCATTTGGCAGATTGATGCACTATTGGTCTATACAAGACTCCCAGCTCACCAAACCTAAATGCTACCCCTTTCTTCAACAGCCTCCTCCTGGAAAGGACTGAGAGAAAAGACAGCAGGCCCTAAAGGTCAACACGCTTGAAGTCTTGGACTAAGGTACCTTCCGTTGTAAACATCACTGAGATCTCCCTGCCTTCTGTTGACCGTGGAGAGCTGATGTGTCTGGCAGCCAGGAAACAAACAAGGAAGATTTGTTAGATTTTTAAACAAGCTCTTCGAATTTCACCCAGAAATAACCTGAAAGCCATTGCACTCCTGAATGAAGGTAAAGTGTACTCCCCACCAAGCTGTACAGTAACTTCATAGAAGTGTACTTCATGTGTGCCAAACAGTACCAAACTACTACTAAGCGTCCGCGTCACAGGGGAAGTGTGCATTTGCAGGACAGCCTAGAGATAGCAGAGCGGCATAGTTGTATTGTTGAGGGCAGCATGTTTTCAGCCAAGAGACTTGTGACAGTTGCACTCAGTCAAATATCCTATGCATGGTGAAATTTTAATTGCAATCAAAACTTGTTTCCAATGCTGAAATGTACGAACCAAAATTCTTTCAGGATTACAGCAGGAATTCATTTTTAGCCATATGCCTAGGATATCAAATTAGTTGTGAAATTCTTACAACAAATGGTTTACTTTTTGAAGTTATTTCCAAGGTTTGAAGTCTGTTATTAGCCTTCCCAAAGTTTTCAGAATACAAGTGTCAAGGAGAAAAAATTCTTAATCCTTTCACTTTGCTCTCGGGGAAGCACACGCTCAAAGTCCAGTTTCAAAGAGCTTTAGTAAGGGAGCTGGGCAAAAGAGCCCCCCCGTAGGACAGGAAAACTGGCAAACTACGGAGAGCTTCTCGCTGGTTCTCATGAAGATAACCATCATATTCATTCTCTTACCACAAACATGAGGTAAAACCTTGGCCAGCACAAGAGAACACTGCTGATTTTCACATAAACGACTATGATTATTATATCCCGTCAAGTTCATGACATCTCCGCGTAGCTTACAATCTCTCTTTGGGGTGAGGAAGGGGAGGGAAAGGTTCCTGATCGTTTCATTTAAACAGGGGACCAATGTGCCAGAGGTGGAAAATGATTAAAAACTAGTATGAAATCTTTGTGATACTGTTTGGTACTATCAGGGCAGAGAGCTCTGGCCAAGAGATCCAAATTCCTTTTTTGCTGCAGTGCTGCTACTTCGAAGTCCTCGAGTCCCAGGGTGGGACTTCCTAAAACCTAAACTGCTTTTGCTTCCTAACTCTCCTTCACTTGAAGTGGGAATTGAGTGTCTAACTTCCTTAAACACTTTGGAAAATCCCAATGCCCGTTTCTATCTAATTTTCTAATCCCGTTATAAATTAACTAATTCGGCACATAGTTTAAATCAGCAAAAGAGAAACCAATACATAATTTTCTTGGCTTTAAAATTACGGTCACATAAATGACACTTCATTTCCAAGTTTCTATAAGCTTGAGAGGGTCTTTTAATAAACACTTTCTGTTATGAGGTCTTTTTAAAATGGCGTTATTACTGGTGGGGCTGGTAGCACTGTGTATAATTAAAATTGTCCAACATTTCCCACTATGAGTACTTAACATTATACAGCATTTTATAAATTTAAACTCCCACTGACTTCTGAGCGCTCAGCACTTCTGCATCTTAGGCCCCAGGATTTGGTAATCAGAGAATGAGGAGTGCATAATTTTAGTGACCACCAGTGGAAAAAGTAGGTTTGAGTGACTTTCTTAGCATCACGCAGGAGCTGAGGCAGGGATAGAATAGAGTTCTCTGGGGCCATAATCATACCACGCCGCCCCGCCCCCCCCCCCCCCTCGGCCTTCTCCTGCTTCCTGCAATCCTCTGCCTCTCACTACCCACTTTTCAACCCCCTCAGTTGTGGGGATGGCCTTTAGTTATGGACAGGCTTAGGTCCATTGTCTCCTAGCACCACAATAGGTACTCACCTTTCAACTTCTGCACCAGATGAGGCAAGGCTTCCTACAGACAACAGCCTCCACTATGAAACTGAGTCCTCCACAGAGCAGATCTATCCTGTGTACTGAATAAGGGATCCCATGGAAAAAATAGGACGAGATAGTATACTTGAAAGCTGTATCATAATGCATGTGCACAAGGGGGACTGAATTAAGGTTGCACAGACAATTGTTCATTGTAACATTATTAATCTTCCTTTTGATTGCCTTACAACAGCCCTACCAGTGGGGCTCTGCAAGAGGATCTGATTATGGGATTGGCCTTATACTGTGCTTCAGCCAATCAGAGAGTAGCTTATCTTGAAATGAGTCTTAGGGGTACAGAAGTTCCATGAATAAATTATTCTGTGGCTGAAAGTTTAATTTTTCCCCCTTTTATCAGAAAATATGTCAGCCACCCAGCTACCTGATTAGCTGGTATATGTTTAATATGATACACATAATGGGAGAGAGGGGGAAGAGGGAGACGGATACAGCAGGAAGATTACAGTTTGGGACTTTTCAAAGTGATTTCCGAAAGTGTATATGCCATTTAATAACTCTGCTTAGCACTGATTAAAAAATAATTTCATTGCGTTGCCGTAGATAAGAGTTGGGTCTTTTCTTTCTCCCTTTCATTTTCAAAACTCATTGCTGTAGCTCTGTGGGTAGATAAAATGTTTCAGGGAGTGCTGACTCCTAGGGCTAGGCAGAGCTGATAAAATGAAATAATGTAAATGACATTTTTTTTTAAAGTAAGGAGAGACACTCAGCCTTTGTCCTCTCAACTTCGGTTGGCATTTTGGCCTGGGAATTTCAAAGGGGCCTAAGCGAGACTGGGTGGATGGGGTAATATTGTGTATTGGATCCACTTCTGTTGGTGGGAGAGACAAACTATCGAGCCACACACAGCACCTGAAAAAGAGCTCCATGTGGCTCAAAAGTTTGACTCTCTCACCAGCAGAAGTTAGTCCAATAAAAGATATTCCCTCACCCACCTCGTCCCTTTAATATCCTGGGACGGACATGGCTACTGCTACAGTTGAGAGAAGAGTTGGTATTTGGCTAGTGAGCTCTCATCTGCCTGGGTATGGTGAGTCTCAGGTTGTCTTCACTGCAGGAGAAGCGTGCACGTGTGGTTTTGTTTTTTACAGCCGGATAACTAATGTGTGGGGAGCTATCCTGCTCTCAAAGCCTAGTGGAGACCAGGCACCTGTAGGTTTTACCTTGACGTAGCTAGGCGAGGTCATCGCTGTACTCCCACCTGTGGTTCATCTCATCTAGTTTAGCTCATGGTAACCCTACAGGTGACTGGTCTCCACTAGGATCTTACACCAGGCTAGCTAACGTGTGTTCGTTATCCCATGGTAAAAACACCACCTTTTGGCAATGAAGACAATGCCTTTCATGGGGGTTGGGGGGTCATCTTCTGGACAGTAAAGTTGTTTCCTCAGCTCAAGCCAAATGACTAAGTCCGCAACAGAGGATAAGCTACAAGCATGCAGGCTGGGATGTTTGCAGTGCCCAGTGGAGCGTCATTTATTATTTAGGGTGTGGATTGTACTTTTATATTTGGCACATATACGTCATTTAGAACAATTTTTAAATTAAAATTAATGCACACAAACAATGCAAAATTCTGTTTTTAAAAAAGAAAAGTTTAGATATTCACATTTTAATTTCAAGAAAGTTCTGTTACAGCTATTTGGTAGTGTTGGTGAAGTTACATCTATAGGACGACATTACATAGTAGTTAATCTTCATGATGTGATCATATTTGTTTAAAGGTTCCATTTCATGTCAAATGGTCACTAAGATCTTAAAAACCACACTTCCAGCTGAACATTTCTATGTGGTTATAACTAAAGGAGAGTAGAAACAATGGTTGTTATTTAATTTGTTTGTTTGGTGAAAGTGATGACCTTTTGTTTTAGAGTCAATTTGTCCCATTCCTCCAAGTGTTCAGACATATGCATAAACATTAGTGGGATCCAGGGCCTTGATCATTGATCATCCATTGTTGGTTTTCCATGCAACCATGGGAAGGAAGAAAAACATTTTAAAAAATATGAAAGTAGGATTGTAAAACCGTTAAATATTGGCAGAAGGACTGCAGCAGTATTTGAAACTACTTTCAAATACTTTTAAACAATTTACTAAATTTCAAGTTGAGTGTCCATTAATGGCATTGAAACCATGGTATGTTTGATTTGTGTAAGATTTTATGCCATCATGAGTGTCAGAGTACCTGCTTATATTGAGATCCTTAAGCATAAAATGCCAAGGACATAAAGAAAAAACAACACAGGGAAAAAAGAGAATAAAAAATCTGACAAAAAATAATCAAATATGGAACAAAGGTATTGATCTCACCTCTTCTATAAAATTATTTAAAAAGAATTATTCAGACTAAGTGTGGGCAGGCAGTGACTGATAGGGGTGACTAATTGGATGGAGGTTTAGTGAATTGGGTAAACCACCCCAGTAGCGATTATGATGGAAGTCACTGTAAGCGCATTTCCCTGTTTGGCTTATATAAGATTGAAATTTAGTTCTCAGTAAGTGACAGCAGAGGGAGTAAAGGAAGGAGGTGACATCTTGCTCCCAAGTTTCAGTCCAATCACAGAGTGATATTTTAGACATAAAATTTAGCTTCATTTGCAATTTTTGAACAAGTTATTGTAGCAGGTTAAGCTGGAAAACATTGACAGATAATGAGCCTCAAGATAGGCATCCTCCTTCATAAGACGATGGGATCCGGAGTGGAAGTAATGCCACATGCTAAATATGGTAAGAATAACATTGTAATAGAAAATAATTTCTTGTCATTCTTGGCCTTTAGAAATTGCTACATTTGACTTCCCAAATTAAGAGGCCTAGAAGCTGGTGTTGGAGGTGCTGCTGCACCCACTGGCTTGAAGTGGTTTCCATCGTATACAGCGTTTATAGATTGGTTCAGTGGCTCTCAGCCCCCCCACTATACAAATCGTTCTGGCACCCCTGGGACTGGTTATCTGAGTGCAATGATATCACACTATACCACTCTTCCTTGGGAAATTGCCTCAGCTTCAGTGACTGATAGTCACCATTGAAATTTAATCTTGATTCTATTCTTCGCCTGGACTTGGGATATCCCTAGAGAACCTCTGGACTGGTTTGGATACTGCTGTGATGTGTTTGTACAGCACCTAGCCACTGATGCCTAGATACTGAGTGGTGACTTTGGATGCCGTTGCAGTGAAAATGAACAATAAGAATAATGCAATTAGAAATGAAACTATGAGGAAGAGTTCAAAGATAAATTAGATAAAATAACTGGATTTAATAAGAGTTTGAGGGAGTGGTGAATGGCACCATTGTGGGAAAATTCATGTTTCACTCTCTACAAAAGCCCCGTATCAAAAGCTGCCCCCAGTGTCATGTCATATTTAACACAGTTCCCAGGCTGGGAGTTTCAAAGGAACCTAAGGGAACGAGCACCCCACTCTCATTAAAATCACAGCCTAAACCCTCAAAACGCCACCAGCCCAGCTTTCTTCGGCTGATACACCCTCATGTCAGGATTCTGTTTCTAAATTAACTCTTTCTTTCTCCACTGCCAAATAAACCTTCCTTGGAGAGTTTGAGAGTGGGTGGGGATGAGCTTTGCTAACCAGGGACAGGAGTTTTAGTTGTCATTTCTGACGCTTGAAAAGGCTGCTCGTCATTTGTCTCCTCAAGGGCTCAGCTTTTTGTGAGCAGGGAATGTCCCTCAGTGATGCAAGCTCTGGCTCTTTGCTTACCTTTCCCTTTCTCTTAGGTGCGGATGCTTGGCTGCTGTAGCATAGCTAAAGCAAGTACCATAGAAAAATATGTAAATAGATAACAGATGCAAAAAGGAGCCGTGGGATGAATATATTGCCAATGCAGAACAATCACCATATGCCTCCCAATCACATTTCCCCTTGCTCCAATTGAGTACACCTGTGGTCTTACTGGCACTGCATTTGGATTCATAGTGGGAGACTCTTATGTTCAGAGGTGCTGAGAGAATCTCTCTGTGCCTCCTATTCTTTCTTTCACTGCTCTGCTCCCCTCCATTGCCATCCACCAGAAAACAAACATCATGAACAAATATTTACTTTTTGACTTGTTTTGCCTCTTGATGTACAGCGAGAGGAGCACAAAACAGAGGCAGCATCAGAGGCTAGTTGAAACCCTTCTCATCAGAGCTGATTCCACTATTTATGCATCCTTAAAAAGTTACCTATTGTATCTCAGGTAAGCCAGGTCCCATTATTACATGTTGGCCCTTCTGATAATGTCCTCTGTGTTCCGTTCCACATGAGGAATCTGGCTGGCCTAGTACATTAGCAGCCCTTGAAAAGCATAGCAATCTTTCAGGGCAAACTACCAGAATTTGCAGGGTCCCCTTTGGGGACTGCCACATTGCAGCTGTCGTTTATGTGCCCTTCTCTGAGAGACAAATCCCTGCCACTGCTTTAGACTCTTTGGAAGCTTTAATTTAGAGTCTGCTTCCAAGGGAAACAAAGCTCTTTAAACCTTTTGAAAGGAGATGCACGGGGGAAATGAGCCCAAATTAGAGGCTGCAATCAGTGCGTACCAGATGCTAAAGGCCAAATTTTTGGAAAAAATTAGGAACAAAGCCCACATGCAGAAAGATATGTGCAATTGTGTGCCTAGATTATTTGGCATGCAAGGGATATTTAGAGGCCCACCTGACCATTTTAACCTCTTGGGTATTAAGATGCCATTTGGGTGTGTGCAAATGTCAGCTTTCTCACACATAATTACTGCAACTCCATGTGCAAAGTTTTGGTTCACAATTGCACAGCAATTTTTGTGCATGAACTTCATGCCTGATTCCCCCCCCCCAGGAACCAGGATCTCGTGGAACCCATTCTAATGATCCATGGCTGCCTGCAAACATGGCTCCAGTGTTGTCAGCTGGGCAGCGTTCATGCATGTGTGAGTTAAACCCTGATCACAGAACACACAATCTAAAGACTATAATCCATTATTTTATCACCGCTCTGTAGGCCAGCCACTAAAATATAAGACAATCATGAATTCCCAAGAACGTTTTGTTTCTCTAGCCATCAGAGGGCAGTGGTGCCCATGAGCATGTATGTTAGTGTGAGTCCCACACGCTTTTAAAAACAAATTGCTTTGACTAATTCATGTGAGATTTTTAATGTTTGCATTGCCATTTGTACATACCAGTAGCCTCTACCTGTTATATTTAGAACAGCTGTGCCTTTAATAAGGGGAGGATTATAAATGCAGAATGTAAAGGACAACTACAGGACATAGTTTTAGGTCACCCAATTTTTTTAAGTCTTGGCTATTATGTGTGTGTTAGATATGCACTGGGGGGGGGGTGTCACTGATTGGATCTGGATTAGGGTGTGGGTTTAGGAGATAAGTCTGGGTTATCTCAGGTTTGGACTCAGCAGTACCAAAAATCTTGTGAGCTTTGCTTGTGAGATTTCTTCCCCAGTGAAGTGGGAATATTGAGATATTAGCTGATCTCATCAGATTTCCCCCACGCTGGGCTGAAATCATTCAGGAATGGATTTCATCCAAACTGGATCCGGACAAGAGATTTCTCTCAGAACCAAATTCATGGGGGAAGAGTTCAGCTTACATTGGGGATTCTGGTCTGAGGGCTCCAGTGGGAAATTCTGGGTTTGTACTCTGTTGTCTTGCCTTGTTTTCTGTGTATTAATTACATCCAGCCTTTAGAGATGGGAGACCTTTTCATAATACAATAATTAAAAACAATAGAACGGGTCCTTTTCTGTTCTAAACCACAGGGGAACTGTGTAACTTCAGTCCTAGAAAAGGAATGTGAATTTCTGAAGGCTATTGGACTTTGCACATTTGTGTACAGTAGATCAGCAAGAACTAATTTAGCAGAACTGTATGTTTGTCATTCTAATTCAATAGGAAATCCGTGGAATTTTAGTCTCCCTTCTGAAGATGGGGATTTGCACATGTAACCCCCACTAGTGGTAATAGGAGTTATTTGCATAAATCCCTGCATACTGAAATAAAATCCAGATCAAAACTGCCTGCCTTGTTCTAAACCCTCTGTGGGCTTGTTTCATCTTATCAATGAGTTCTCCTCTCTCTGTATGGTCCCCTGCTCTCATGGCTCATCTGACACTGATACCAATGTCCTCTCTGCCCCCTTAACCCCTTAACTGTAGCCAGCATCTTCTGTTTCTGCTCCGTATGAGCTCAGCTTCTTTGATCAATTCTCATCTGACCACATTTCACTCTTCCTCTTTGTTCCTTTCCTGTTCTATTTTACTTTAAATTGTGACTGCATTATTTAATTCTGTAAGGCACTTTGGGATACTCTGTTTGTAAAAAAGCGTATGAAAAATATGCATCCAATCCTGCAACATTTACTCAGGCCCACTGAAAGGCTGCTTGCATATCTGTCTGAGGAAGTGTGTTTACAGTGAAGGGGGTAGGTCCCTAAAGTTTAATTCTACTGTGTTGAGATGTTTCACTGGTCAGCAACATGCAAGCGCGCACTTCTCCAGTGATGGTGCTTAAGTACTGTAGTTCATCAGGATTATAGCTTAGTGCGTGTGCCAGACACTTTAAGATATTTAACGCCATTGTCATTGGACTAAAATGTAACATTGCACAACATATAGCATTACCTAGCACTTTGATGAACAGGCAGTACTCACTGAGCAGGGGGTTGGACTAGATGACCTCCTAAGGTCCCTTCCAACCCTGATCTTCTATGATTCTATGATTGTCTCTTATCCTGCCAGCATCTTTGTTGCTACATTGATTGGAAAAGAAAAAAAAGCAAAGTGGATTTTGCTGAGAAGTTTCCTGAACCACCAACAAACCCCGTTGCCAACGTAACACAAGAGTGAGTATAAAAATAATTACTGGCACAGGCCTGCTGAGAGTTCTGAGTCCACTGTTTATACACTTCTGGATGCAATTGTGCATCTGCTATTGGGTATCCTTGGCTTTCAGGTTTAAGTCTATGGAAGACATTTCACTCTTAAAGATCATAAATGTGTGAGTGGGGGAAAGGGAAGGCCTGGAGGGTTGTTGTTCTATCACCGTTTGTGTTGTGTCTTGTAAGTAAAATGATTATTAAAACGTATATTTTTAAGGGAAAGAACAGACTGTCGCTGTTTATGTGCCAGCTGGGCTGCTTTTCATACAACTACTCTGGAGACACCAATAAACACTTTAATTTCTTTTTCTAATTGCGAAACAGGTTTACAGGAATCAAATGTGGCAGCTGTGTAACTGACAGGTGTCTGTGCTGAAAAAGTACTGCCCAGGCACATGTAAAATGAAAGGAGAAATGATCTCTCCTAATGCCTTCAACTAAAAGTAACTTGTTTTATTAGCCTGGTGCTCGGTAGCACACCCTTGTCTACCAGTGCTGCTGCCACTGACCTCAGATTTTGGGGATTTCACAACATGGTCATTACATTTTAATTTAATTCTTAAACTTGGCCTTCAGGAGTGAATTGTTTTCTCTAGGTTTTTAATTCTCCATTCTCCCCTTCCTTCCCCGCAGACACTTAAAAAAACAAAAAGAAAAGAAAAGTTCTGATATTTCAGAATTATAGTAGTGGCTTTCCGAGAGCTGCTTATGGTAATGACATGAGAAACTGGAGGTTTCACCACCATTGATTAATGCAGCATTTTTGACACCCATCATGTTGCCTTATGTATCCTGGTTACTTTACAGTTGTTTTTTGTGCATGATTTACACACTTTGCTGAAGCTGAGGGATTCTGCTAGGATGGAAGAAGTTCCCTGTTTTAGAATGAGAAATCAGGACCACATCAGATAGGGTGACCAGATGCCCCGATTTTATAGGGACAGTCCCGATATTTGGGGCTTTTTCTTATATAGGCCCCTACTACCCCCTACCCCCGTCCCAATTTTTCACACTTGCTATCTGGTCACCGTACATACAGATCACTGCAAACTAAATAAATAAAAAGCTCTGGGCATGTAGCTGATTCTATTTAAACATGTGCATAGCTAGCAATTTGAAATGTGTGTACCCACTGGTCAATACTTGTGCCCCCTTGGCTGTAGTATCTCCATGGTTTCCTGTGATATTGATCATATTGTGTGTAATTGCGGAGGGGGAGGGACGGGACAGTTTCTAATGCCAAAGATGAAGACCTATCACTAACATAGAGGGTGCAGCTAGTTAAATTTTAAGAGCAGATGAAGGACAAAAAGCACCAGCCAAATGCTGCTTCCTGGAAGTAAAACAGAAAATACCTTGGGGCACAGTGACATGAGTATCGCTGTCGACACCCATGCTTTAACTTCTGAATGTTCACAGACTTTTAACTGAGAGGGAATCTGTTTTAAAAATAGACAAAAAATCCCCCCTCCCCAAGCAATCCAGGCACCGTCGATGCTCTCCAGAGGAGTGACACTGTCACTATAAACTGCCCCATTTCTCTTCCCTTTTTGTTTAAAGTGCAGAAAACATAAACAGGCAGCTCTGCAAAAGGAAACGTTACCACGGACCACTTACATGACAAGTCATTGTAATTTCTTGCTCCCCCCCTTTTTTTCTGTGGCTGTGAGAAATGCTGAGGGTGCGTAACTGACAACCAAGATAACGTGTGCCAATGCTTCCTGAATGTCTTTAAAGGGCAGGTTGTAGCTTGCTGCCAATCTGCCTGGATAGGACATACTTTAGTGACACAGGAGCATGCAGGGCAGGTTATAGTAAGGAATCCACAGAATTCTTCTTACATGGTTAAAGTTTGGATCGCTAGACATCTCCTGCCATATGATGATCAGAACTTCTTTAGCAACTCCAAAGGCTGATAAAATGCAGGCCAAATTCTGTGGTGATGTGCAAGGCTGTTGATATTGTGTCAGTAAATGGGTGTAAGGGGCTCTGAGAGCTGTAAATATAAGTGGATGAGGCTGGAATAGAAGAATGAAGCAGAAAAAGCAACTAACTGGAGTGTTTGAGATACACGCTAAAGTAACCACATTATCTCTCACCTCTTTTTAATGCCTCAGTTTGTAAGTTACACCATGTTACACTCCGTGATCTGTGGCTGCTGGGTTGGAGTTGCTTACATCCACTTCCTGATGCATAATAATACACCATCTTACAGAACATCTCTGAATTTGGGGACTGATTGAAAGCCTATTGCGGTGAAAAGGAGCCTTTCCGTTTATTTCAACAGTGTCTGGATCAGGGCTCTCGCTCTTTGTGTTCACAAACGTCTCCTCATTTCTAGCTGTTTCCATGTGATTATAAAGCACATGGCTAGGTCAACTCCTCAGTTATTTAGGGTCCTAACTTTAATTGGGAATATGGCCAACGTTTGCAAGAGAATTAAGACACTGGACATAGATTTCAAAAGATAGTATTAAAACTGCACAGGAAAAGAATGAGCTGGGTTAGAATTATACACCTGCCAAGCAAACAGATTCTTATCTTGGAAACGTTTCCTATGCAAGAAGGGGAGACAATGTGAGCAGACAGTTCTGAGGACACAGTGGCAATGGAGATTCGAGATGCGCAATCTACAGTGTGTAAAACAACACACCTTTGCCTCATTGATCTGCCCTGTTTGAAATACTTCATTTCCCAACCTTTTCACTCGCCTGGGTCTAGCAGAGAGTCCGGGAAAGGGTTCACAGATGGAATACTGCTGTGCTCCGGTGATCTCTCGCTGATGGAGTAGCCCCTTGAGTTATCAACCAATGCAATTTAGAGAAGACCTGAAGATGATATCCAACAGTTCTGGGAGTGACAGCAGACGGATGGGGTATAAAAGTGATATAAATCCATATTTGATTTAACTTTGCAGCTTCTCTGAATGGAGCCCAGCCTCAGCTGAGGATTCAACCCTTTGGATGTCAAATAAAAGTCAAGTCCAATTCTATCCATGAAAGGATGTACAGTTTTTGCCCTTCCTGTTTCTTCAAGAGGCATCACTTTAGAGGTGGTCTTTCTGAAGAATGTCCCTACGCTCTGAGCCCCATTATGTCACGGCCTGCATGAAGTAGTAGCATAACTCAGGCTTACCTTGCTGTCCAGTAGAAGGGAGTTGCATGACCTCCTGTGTACTGTGAAAATTGGTAAAATTGACCATGTAGTACTTGACTGTCCTTTGCTGCTCAGACTCCAGGAAAGAGACTAAAAAATATTTAACGGAATGAACCATTTCCCAGACAATTGTGAAGTTCTTCAGTGTAATAGGAAAACATTTCCAGGTACAAAATACATTTTTAAAATCATTTTACTAGTGCTGAGTTAATGCTTCTAAAGCACAAAAATTATTTACAGAGATAAAAGTACAGCATTGTAAATCAGCATTGTAAATATAAGCCCTTTCTTGTCACCTGCACTTATCTTGATTTTTAGAGTACTCTGTGGTATTCAGAGTGTTTAACAGGCATTCTGACTCTAACTCATGATTGCAGTGGTACATAAAATAGAAAGATTAGAGTCTCAGTTGCCTGCTTAATATGTAAATATATCCAGTTATGTCTGAGTGCTTTTAATGAAGTAACTTGGACTTCTGTTCCCATATATCACAGGTGATTATGGAAAAAGCACTCTAGATGCCTGTTGGAAACCACAAAATCTAAGATCCTGTTTTTGTTTAAAGTTTCCTATTTTTAAAAATTCTGTAGATTCCTGAGGCTGGGAAGAACCCCAATCCAGGTTGAATTTAATCTTAATTAATCCAAATTTAGCCAGTTATCAGATAGAAATAATATGTCAGGATGTTGTATAATAATCCACATGTTGTTATAAATAAAACCTCTCTTTGGCTGTAGTTTACATCTGAAATCTACCGAAAATTATTTGATACCGTGTATGAAAGATTGAAATTAATGTTGTTGCATTAAATGCATGAGTCCCTCTAATATTCTCTGTGTGCTGATGACACACATTCCCAGCCTTTCTACCAGCTAATGGAACGCAATTTCCTTTTGCAGAGCGCCTTTCATCCAAACTGTATCCCTGCATGTTTTACAGGTTTAAACAATATAATTGCACAGATAAAGGAAAAAAAGAGAACCTAGCAGAGAGTACACAAATCAATTCATGTTTCTTAATGCGTGGGGTGAGGCCTTCTAATGTGAGAGACAAGTACTGTTTGAAAGATGGCACTGTTATCTCTGGACCTGGACAAGAGACTGGATTATGCAAGATTTATTGCAGGGCCCCCTGTGGTTAGGATGTGGTTCCCCCTGGAGGTTCAAAGTGCAGTCGCTAGGCCAAATGTGAGCATTGTCCATACAGCTCTACAGTTAGCCCCAATCTTTAATGGGGAGAGGAGCCCATGGTCCCAATATACAATATCTCTGATTTCCAGGGGCCTAGCACTGCAGGCTGTGCCAATGTATTAAAGTTCAGGGTGATTGCAACTTACTCTAGTGTGTACAAACATGTGGCCCTTAAGTTCCCAGCAAGTTGCAGGTGTGGCATTTGGTTAAGTAAAATTTGCTTCCTCTTAGATGACTGGAGCTGTGCTACTGGGGACCAGAGCCCTGCCAGGGGCATGGAGTTGCAGCAAAGAGGCATGGGGCTTCTGCACTGGTGGACCTTTCCTCCTGCAAATCATGTGAGCTTTGCTGGGGGTGTGGATAGGGTCATTCCTACCTCCCAATGGAATGATTATGTGGGGAGCATCGGGGGTGGGGGGTGGGGGGGGATCATTGTGCAGGAGATGGTGAGGGAGTAAGGAAGGGAGGGGCGTGTGACTGGTGAAAGGTTCTTGAATACAGGAGATGATGACGTCATTCCGATCCTCAATCTAATTAGCCGGGCTGCCTGTGAAATGTTGCTTGAGGACATCTCCTCTTAGTCAGAGCATTCTTTCATTCTCTCCCTAAAACCACTAGGCTTGTTTTAAACTCACGGCTTGCAAAATAAAGACCATCGTGCTGAATCCCTGGTTGAAAGCAGGAAGGGAAGTTTTGCAGGGGTTGTACAATTCAGTAAGATGCTGCGAGCTGAGCATTAGATAATATCCACGTTTCGGGCTTCGAGCTATAAAGCTGCTCAGCTGCTGCAAGATCTCACAAAGATAAAATGCACTTCAGTGCACTGCTGTCAGAGGAATTTGAAACATTCAAACCCTGTTATATCTCCCCCTTGCTTCTTTCTTTGCTCTTTGAGATATTTCTGAACTTCCGAAGAAAAAGCTGCAACACACACAGCATTTTCTCCTCTTCTCCACAGGCTTTCCTTTTGCTTCATGAGACTGACGGGTGGTTACAGGGAAGACTGGCACCAGCATCTATTATGCCCATTGCAAGACCCGGTTTTCAGTTGCCGATAACTTTGCCAAACTTCAACTGTTTGGATTGAATTTTTCCATGCCAGGTGTCTGCCTCAGGCTGGTTCGCTGGGGACACTTACAGCCAAAATAGTTCAGCTGTTTCCAGGAACATGGCTAGGGGAAAATACTGTTTTGTTCATGTTTAAAAAAAAAAAAAAAATTAATAAATTAAAAAAAATTCTTGATGTTTTTCTTAAAACAAACAAAAAACCCCCCCACAAAACTCAAGGGGCCCTATGCTTTGGAGCTATTGAAATTTGCCACGGGAGTGGCCTTGTGCAGGCCTTTGTGCTTTCTTGGGAAAATATGCCCTAATTTGGCAATTTGAAGTGTATCCATTTGAAAAATCTCAGTCACACATTTTCAGTGGCGATTTCTTCGACTTTAGCAGCTAAAATTTCCAAAGATCCCATCGTCACTGAGCATGAGCCATCCCCTCACAGCTCCTGTATGTGACTAGACTGCACGTGTACCATTCCTATAAAGTGAGCCGAGCATGCTTCCTCAAGCAAAGGGCTACAGGGGTGAAGCTGGCCTTTCCCTGTAATGAAAGCTCCTAGCTCATCTCGGTCAGGGTGTGCTGGGCACTGAAACTGAGAGCAAAGAGCCTGCCGCCTTCTGCTCTAACGATCCCCTGGTGGTGCCCAGGCAGTGTGGAGGAGGAAGCTGCCTGACTCAAATGCAAAGAGGATGCGATCTGGACCCCAGGGGGTTGGGGGAGAAGGGAGAGGTGAGTAGGTTGAGATGAGGACCCTGATGAGGGAGACTGGGATTGATATCTGGTGGTGGTGCGAGGAAGGGAAACTAGGACTAGCCTTTGTGGGGAGGCTTAGACTGGAAACTGGGGGTGGAGACTTTGACTGGCTGAGCAAGGAGTCTGGGACTGGGGAAAAGAAGGTGGATGGGGACAGATCTGAGGAGGCTCTGGAGTGTAGGGGAAGAACTGCGATTGACATGGACACTGAGACTGGTCAAGAAGCCCAGAGAGGGAGACTGGGACTGGGACCCAGTAGAGATAGGGAACGTGGCCAGGGTAAAAAGAGTCAAATTGGAAGGGGGACTGGGACCAAGGAAGCCGGTGGGGGGGTGGGAGGAAGGGGGTCTGGGAGTGGCTCTGTAGGGAGACTGGAACTGGGAAGCACAGTCTGGAGGAGTGAGATTAGGATTTATGAAGCAAGTAGACAGGGATTGGGATGAGAAGCCTAAGGAGTGGGAGGCTGGGACTAGGTCAGTGAGGAGAGTGGGACTAGGACAAGGAGAAAGGGATAAAGCTTGGGCAGGGACATGTTGGTGGGGATGAGGCAGAAGGAGTTCAGCTCAGGGAAATGGGCAGAAGTCTGTGCCCATGAGAGAACATTCCCCTCTGGAGCCTGGAATGGAACACAAGCTTTTGGAGTCTCACCATTCCTCTGTTGTCTGCAAATATCTGTGAAACCCACTGGTGAAGTGTGTATCTCATCCCCCTCTAGTGCTGGTCTACATAGAGGATGAAAATCTAGTGTTACAATCAGTTACTCTGTTGGCTCAAATTGCAGAGGTCTGTATGGAGGATCTAAAGGTTCCAACCATGCTGCTGATTCACTGTGGTGTCAATAGGATGCCATGTGATGCAATATCTGCTTTTTGAAAACTGAGTAACTTATCTCCCCAAAAGACGGCATTAAAAAGAACTTTAAGATTGTAAAGTCAAATATGCAGAAGTTAGGAGATGCCAGCAATAAGAATGCTTGTGCAACTTTAATTCAGCCCCTTAGATTGTATAATAATGTGTACACACATTCATTACATTCCCACATATTTTTTCCACAGGATCCCCGCCTCATTCAGTGTACAGGATGGACCTCTGGGATCAATCAGGGGTGTATACTGAAGGAGGCTGTTTGTCTGTAGAGCCACTGTTATTTCAGAAGTTGGAAGGTGTCTTGAACAGGAGGAGAAAGGATGGTCTCATGCTTGAGATGGTTGAATGCATCTTGGAAAACTCAATTCTATTCCTGCCTCTGCCACAGAGTTACTGTGTGATGCTGGGCAAGTCACTTTAAACCAACATTTCACAGGTGGTCACTAATTGTGTGTTCCTCATTTTCTGGGTGCCCAACATGACACCCTGGGGCTGAGCTGCAGAAGTGTTGAGTGCTGCTTGCTGCATCTGAAGCCAGTGAGAGCTGTGCTTGAATATATAACGTGCTGTAAGATGTGTACTCTGAAAAATCAGATACTAGGTGTGTTATGTTTGGTAATTGGTAAAATTATTGGATTCTTTTGTCCTTAGTGCCTCTGTGCCACAGTTACCCATCTGTAAAATGGGGATAATACCACCCCCACATCTCACAGGAGTGTGGTAAAAATAAATTCATGAATGTTTGTGAAGGCCTCAGATACTATAGTGAAGGGTTCCATAAAGTAACCCATGAGGAAATGAATAATTCTGTCTTCAGAGCAGGGTTTCAATAATGTGCAGTAAATTGGGCCTAGGACCATACACTGAACCATGAGGAGAAAGCAACAGAATGAATAGTTGCTCATTCAGTGAGCACTGTCCATCATTTTAATACATATGCAAAAGGGGGACAAATGAAGGTTGAATAACCGATTCTGGCCTTTCTTAACTGTTGAGTAGATTGTGTGTGTGTGTGTGTGTGTGTGTGTGTGTAAGTTACATCCAGTGCTACTCTCCTGATGATATTTAGAAGTGACCACCCAATTCAGATGCAAACAAAAACCAAAGACTGAGCTACTTCACCTTGATATGGACATTTTATCTCAATTGCCGATCTAGTTTCAGAGCAGATATTTAATTGTATTGGTGATGTAGTAACGATGATAGCGCCCTTTTATTGCCTGAAAAATTAGGCTAAGATTTTCAAAAGTGACCAGTGATTTTTGGAGCCCAAGTTGGGAAGGTGGTTGTGTCCAATTTTCGGAAAGTCCTGAGCACCCATCCTCTGAAAATCAGGCCCCTTTAAGGAGTGTGTAGTGGGACACCCATAAATTGATAATCTTGGCCCATAGAATGTTCTTCATCAGACTAAATCACAATGGACTGCAGTGATACGGTTGTTTTAGGGTGAACAGAATGAATGTATTATAAATGGGTCAATGGCTGATTATGCTTGCAGCTGTGCAAACATATAAGACCTAGACCCTTGCCTCAAGAAAGATTCAGTAAATCAGTCTACAGAAGAGTTGAATAAAGTGTAATTAACACACTCCTTAAAGTGGGAGAACAGATGGATTGATCAGCACTTGGTTTCTTCGCTTTCTTAAGCCTCCGTTCTAGTTTCGGTTTAGCTAACTGCAGGGTAAGAGAATGCTCATTCTTTGAGATGGGGTGGGTGTGCACATCTCATTTTAGTTGTGCACCAGCTGGAATGCAGAGGTAGGTAGCCTGTACAGCAGTACATGACACGTTGTTACATTTTAACTGCTGGCAACACCGTAAACTTCAGTGGTAGAAAATGGTAGGTAGAGCCAAGAAAAGTGAATATGGAGGATCCTGATAGTCCTAGCAGGTTTTTTAAAAGACGTTCATTTAGAAGCACAAAAGAAATTGGAACTAATCAGCCTGGTACTCAACATTTTAGTCTTGTGTTACGTATTTATTATAGTAGCTCCCATTGACCCCAACTGAGAATGGGGGGCCCCAGCATATTATGTACTGTACAGATATATAATGGGAGACTGTCACTGCCCTGAAGAGCTTACAGTCTGCATAGGCAAGACAGAGAAAAGATTTGCGGGGAAATGGAGGCACAGAGGGATGAAAAGTGCTGCCCAAGGTTACAGTGGCAGAGCTGGGGTTAGAAGAAACCAGTCTCCTGACAGGTTGTTGAGAAATACGTAGTGCTTGAAATTCTCTTTGCCATTTTCCTTTCTTTAATGGTAATTCCACTTGCATAATCCCCCCCCCCCCCCCAAAAAAAATCTAAATGCAGAAACCAAGAAAGCTTGATTTCTACCAAGGATGCCAAGACCTTCCACTTGAGCAAATTTATTATTTCAGTTCCTTTGATGGCAGGAGAATCCTCTAGTCTAAACACTAACAGATAATATTTTATTGTATTCTGTATGATAAATTAGTTTGAATAGTTATCAGACAGATGTTTAAAACTCTCAGTGCCAATCAAAGCAATTAAACATGAATTAATACTCCATAATTCATACATGGAAATGTCTTATTCTGAATTTAATGTTTTAGAACAAAATGTTATTTAAAAATACTTTAGTATATATAAACTTGGTGATGAGAGTAAAAGTTCTGAAATTGGAATTACACTGGGTTAATTTCTCTGCTCAGAATTCTGATTAGTTTATCAGATTACTCAATGTGATTTATTCCTTTATACTGAAATACTTATCTTCAGCAAGATTATTTGAAGCCTGATTCTGCATGAATCCCATTTTATTACGGTTTATACAGAATGCATTTTTTAGAGTCACCCTTCAGAGTTAAGCTGCACTCTAAAACCCCAGGTCCTTTGTCTGCTTTGTATGGCTGTTCGCAGCAAGGCTCAACCATGGGATGAGGCCAGGGGAGGTGAGTCCTACCGGTGGGTAGGCCACAGCAGCCAATGGCATCCCTCTTTGTTTATTTCAAATACTAGGATTGGCTAGCTGATAAGTGGCCCACCTACAAATGAACGACAGCAAGCAGCGATGGCCCTCTTTTGATCCACCCAGTACCCTTAGCAGGTGCAGAAAGCCAGGCTGCCTCCAGTGTCCTGGTTCCAAATCTCCATTCTCCTCCTGCTGCAAGTTTATTCTCTTGGCCATTGCCTTCCACTTCAGAGATAGGTGGATGACATTTGAGTAGAGAGTGAACTGATGTCTGCAGGTTTGATAGGAGACTATAAAATGCTGTATTAATTTAAGATTTTATTAGGTAACTGTGTGCTCACACCTTTGCCTCTTTTATTTGGGAAGGAGAAAGTTAATCTATAAAATGGATCACTTGCACCTTGATGCTTTTAATTTTTGAGAGGAAATTTCTCCTTTACTTTTGAATTCACTTCTCAAAATCAGAACCAAGGAGAATCCAGTCAGTTAGTAGTTGTATTTTAGGAAAATATCACACTTGGGCAATACAAGGGCTGCTTTCAGTGTACCCTCTGACCTCCAATAAATGGGCATTATGTTCTTTGTTCTTCATGATAAGTGATAAATCTGATTTGGCACTTGTCAGCCAGATACTGCTTGTCAGACATGGCGGCCATTGCTCTTGATGGAGAAACTGGGAGTGTTCTATAAATCACCCCATGAATATCATTTCACTGGTAATGACAGAAAGCTGTCTGATATAGAGAATGTCACTATGGAAACCATGAAATTGTAAATCCTGGCCCCATTGAATTCAGTGGCAAAGCTCCCACCGAAATCAGTGGTGACAGGATTTCACCACACAGCTGAATTCTGTGGCTGATCCAACTCTCCACAATGGAATGGACCCACCTTCTGAATCCAACCCACCCTTGCACCCAAACTTTGGAAATGTTCATCTCCAAGTCCAAACTTCATGGCTCAGGCCCATCTCAGGCTTTTATGAAAGTATCAAGAGCTTGGAACTAAGCATGTCACCGTGACAGTGGAATGCGCTAGGTGGGGCATGAACTTGAAGAACTCAAGAAAAGTTTTTAACTCTCTTATTGTACATTGCTATAATCCATTGTTGCGATCATATATAGTACATTCACTTTGCTGTCATACATCAGTCCATTGATGTATTAATAATTATTTTAACAGAGTAGATCCAGGATTCTATTGAGGAGAGACTGTCCAAAATTTCA